ATATCTCTGTATTCTTAATTAAAACGTCGTACCACCAAAGAAAATTGAATTTTGCAAGAATAAGGCCCGACCAAGAATTTATCAACGCTAGATGGGGCTTTGAGCGTTTGTCAAATAGTTATTATGATTGTTTAATTAATACTGTGTGAGAGAATCTAATTCGGCACGAATGGACCGGCTCGACCGGAGTGATACCATATTCTTACAGAATATTTTATGTAAAACAACTTTTGCGTTGTATTTCGTCAATATGCAAAGTTACCAGGGCCTAATCCACCCCTTTCTCTTCCCCAATTCCCAAATACCCAAACACAAAACGATCAAATCTCAATCCCGGTCCCCAAATCCCCAAATCTCCAATCACCAAATCCCCAATCATAAAATACTTAAACACCCACAAAATTATAACAATCCACTTGTGATTCCTTTGGTGTTGCTGATATCAATGAGGGGCGCCAATCCCTTTCCATTAAATCATCAATCTGCTCTTTTACCGCCTTATACCATAAAACCAAACTTGTATGTAACTGTTAAAAATATGATCTACATATTATGCGGAATTCATTCATAAAACGTCTAATCATACACATAAAATATAATATTATACAAAAAAATATTTAGTGTGGGAGAGTCGTGCTTGACTGGAGTGACACCACTTCACCGCAAAGCGGTGTGAAACAACCACCATCGTTGTGTTTCACCGAGTGATTGAGGGTTACCAATCATTCCCTTCCATAATCTCTAAATCTCCAAAACCCATGTCCACAAAATTCAAATTATTGGGACTAAATCTGTCTATGGCAAAGGTACGCTCCAAGCCACTTCTAGACATATAAACCGTTGTAGATCTAATGGTGAAGGGAATTAGGTCGCGCTCTGCAATTTTTCATTCTGTCACCGTGGGACTTCTTTCACACTGCCGGGAAATTATGGCCACCGATACTGTGGGACACAGGTACATATACTGAGGACCGAAACTAATTAAAAGCTTTCATCAATGCGAATTAAAAGTTTAAAATTAAATTGTAAATAGTCTTCAATTTCTTGTTCATTCTTCTAAAAACCTATGATATGCCGATTTTCGGATTTTAACCGAAAAACTAAATTTTTTTTGTTTCACGTTCAACATTGCCTACTGGGGTCTACTGTGGAATTTTGACTTTTGATGGGGGAGGGGTAGAGATTGGACATCCGGTAACCTTACTCGCACAACACAATGTTTTCTGTGAGGCCGTGGTATCACACCTGTCGAGCCGACCCATACGTGTCGAAGCTTGGTTTTTCCACACCTATATATAATACCCACACTTTTAAGTGCCTGTATAATATGGATCTATTAAAACATGATGCTTTTTTTTTCATTTTGACTTCGTTGAGTCGATGATTTATGGTTTAATGGCAATAAATAATTATGTCGATCAGTTCGAGTTCAACTCCCGCGTTAACTAACCTCTTTTCTATGTCAAGTAATATCATACATATTTCCTTGAACATACCTACTTAATTACATTAAACCAAATATAAATTACATCAGTAACTAATATTTTTTGGAATAATGAAAATCCTGTAACGAAATCAAAAAAAAAACTTGTTGGAAACTAAGCGGCTATTCGCCTAGTAAGCTCTGCATTATTAAATGGATTAATCCTGTGTTTTACTTTGGTAAAAAAACAGGTTTATATACTTTTAGTTTTATTAAGGCCAAAGTGCTGGACAGACCAGATTAATTTGTTCGTCGTAGAAAAAAACTTTTGCTATGTACACTATTATAAGTTCCAAAAAATCACTTCATAGTATAAAACGAAGTCGCTTTCTCTGTCCCTCGCTGCTCGGCTCTATTTAATCGTAGCGTGATGTTTTATAACCTATAGCACTCAAGAACATTGCAGCTATCTATCAGTGAAAGAATTTTGGCAATCCGACCAGCGGTTCCTAAGATTACCCCCTACATACAAACTTACAAATTTTAATTCTTAATATTAGTATAGAAAACGCCGTGAACATCGCGACCTTAACAAGGTCGTTAAGAACTTTTAATACTCTCAGTAATTATAAAATAAATACTGTTTTGAGTAAACAAACGCAATTACAAACATATTATTATTAATATATGTCTGGGCATACCCTTAGGATATTATTTGTTCTTTATTAATGGCGAACCTTTCGCAAACAGATGACTACAAAGAGTTTTTAATAATAACTAAATACTTTTTAATGGTCCATGTATTGTTTTGAGAAAATATGTGAATATGTATGTTTAGTTTAAAATCCAAACTAATATTATAAATTCGAAAGTAACTCTGTATGTCTGTCTGTCTATCTTTTCTTCACGCCTAAACTATTGAACCTATTTGTGTGAAATTTGGTACAGACATAGTTCAGAACTCCAGAAAGGACATAGGATAGTTTTTTTTATGGTATAAGTCAGCAAACGAGCCGATGAATTACCTCATGGTAAGCAATCGGCGCCGCCCATGGACAAACGCAAAACCAAAGGAGTGACGAGTGCGTTGCAGCCCTTTTGGGGATAGGGGTTGCGGATATAAGGATCGGGAAGGGATAGGAAGAGAGGAGGGATTGGGCCTCCGGTAACCTCACTCCCACGGCGAAACACAACGCTTTTGTACCAAAAATCTGCAGGAAGTCGCTATTCCACGCAAACGAAGTTGCGAGAAAAAGCTACTTTGATAATATTATTTTGATTATGACTTAGTGTATTCAGAAGATTCATTTTGTATTTGGTTTGTGGAGGGTCACAGATTCAGTGTTATAGATCTTGCGCTAAACGAGCTTACGGATACCCTGATTTTAAGCAATCTTCTTCGCCCATGGTCACTCGTAATACCAATGGAGTTACTACAAGTGCAATGCCGACCTCGTGTGGGTTGGTAGGGATTTATGTATAGGGGATTTGGGAATAGATGATGGGGTGGGAGGGAGAATCCATTGGGCTTACGGTAACGTCAATCACATGGTGAAACATAACAAAAGTGTTGTTGCACTCCGGTTTTCTGTGAGGTCGTGGTATCACTCAGGTCGAGCCGATCCATTCGTGCCGAAGCATAGACACTTAAAAAAACTTCAGAACTTAGAAAAATTATACGTTTGAGTATATACATTGTATTGTACATATTCTGACTGCAACGTGTCGCGGGTTCGATTCCCGCACGGAAAAACTCTTTATTTTTTTTTTCAAATAACCTTTGTCTAGACAGAGAAGTTTGGAAATAAAAAGGGGAGGCCTTTGCCCAGCAGTGGGACACACAATAGGCTACAAAAAAAACGTTTGTCTTTGTGTTATTTACAAATGGTTGTTTTGAGTCTGTACGTATGGAAAGTGTATGTTTGTAATCGCACCCACGACACAAGAGAAAATGCTAGCAAAGAGAAACATTGTAATAAAAAAAATATTAACATTTTGTTACATCTTTCTAATGACGCAATAATAACTATAGTAATTACACCTTTCCCATAAATCCCGACCCAGGAATAAACACACACGCTTGCCCTCACTAGCCGTTCTTCAAACAACTACCCCAGCGAAGCACCCATTAAAAAATAAATTTAATTAATGTCTAACATTCTCAAAGTAAATTCTGAAGCCGAAAAACAATCACGATGCTATGTAAAAAGTACTTAATACTCAGCCTAACTACGGTAATCCGATTAAACTGTAGTGATGGGAAACAATAGGGACACGTTTTATCGATAGCTTTTAATTTTATATTAATTTTAAAATACTACTTTTATTTAAAGCCAACGCACGATTAAATTGTACTTGTGTACCTTATGGGGAGCAATTGACGTCGTTGCGTTGCGTGCGTTTTCAGCTTTTTGGGACTGGGATGAGAGGAAGAGGCGTTTTGGGAGATGATTCACTCACACTCAAAAGTTTCTTCGCGTATTTTTGCAATAGAATTCTATTAAGTGTGACTTTAATATCTTAATTGCTCAGTTAGACTTAGTTTTTTTAAACTTTATGACTTTACCATAATATGTTTTTATATATTTGTTAATTATTTTATTAGTTGAGAACAAAAAAATACGGGAGGACGGCATCCTCCCGTATGAATATCGCAATAATAAATTTCCAAATTTAATTAAGTACTTCTCATAATCAGAATATTTTATACAATAGGTATATAGTACATTAATTTATACCATTATTTTTGTTTCGAAAAAAATTGATGTCTCTGACTCGGAGTTTACTTTGGCGTTTCCTCTCATAGTAGCAAGATACAAAATCTCATTTAGATTTTTATTACAATTTTTTAAAAGCACTGTTTTGTAGCTTATTTACGAAAATAAATTAATTATTTCTTGTTTTAATAATATAGTTCCAAAAATAATTCTTAAATGAATATTTCTTATTCATTCTACGTACCAGTTAGAAATAGATACTAAATATAAAAGTACCTATTATTAGATATTATTTAGGACAATGATATTTTTTGTTGGAAGATTCTTCGAAAACAACACGCGTGTCCTCTTTTTCTGTAACTAAGAAGTCATATCTAGAAAAGAACGTGTTAGCGCTAGGTTATTTTAATAGTAACTATCATGACTTATACTATATATATTTATGTGAGCGGTGCGCGAGTGATACCTACGTTGGTTTGTTCCGTCTAAATAAATTAAAAACCCGTAAAATAGTGAGTGCTGTGTAGTGATCCTTATAGAAACTGTTAGCACCAAGTAAAATACATATGTTACTATATATATTTTGGGATAAAAAGTCATCATAATTAAGTAATAAGCAAAATCAGTTCACCAGTGATTTTGTTATACCGCCACTAACTTAAAAAAATCATCGAGAGACGACTCCACGGGCGCAACGCGTAAGTGACGCGGTATCCACGGCGCTTACGACGTTCTTCTCGCCGACTTACGCATCGACACAACATTGCCGAGCGCGGGCCTTTATTAGCGTGCGATTTATTAGTGTGCACGGGAATATCGGTATTTTAACTTTGTGCGACTCCATAACAAAGTCGTTCACTATGAATTGCGACTGCTGCTCAGAAAATATAGCTGAAGGAAGTGCCGCAGTTAAATGCTCGTCGTGCCTAAAACCCTACCACCATTCCTGTCTCACGCAGCTGGGTTGTGACCCCCAACTAGCTGAAATGCATAACTGGGTGTGTCCATCCTGCAAACCAAAGAAGCGAAACGCTGATAGTACTCCGGTACGCAACAGTCAGGCAAGTGATCCTAATGTAACACTTAGAAAGAAAGAGCCTTCGGTAACTATCCTCGACGATGTAGCTCCTGTTACTTCTGGCGAAGTCTCGCGTATTATGAAAAACCAGATCGACGAACTGATGCGCCATCTCAACCAAACTTTGGCGAACTATGTTAACACTCAGATGAAGGCGATAACGGACAAATTAGAAGGGGTAAATTCATCAATTGAATTTATGAATGTAAAGTTTGAGGAAATGAAGACCGAGTTTTTCTTAAACACCAAACTCGTTAACGAACTAAAAAAGGAAAATGAGCAACTCAAAACCACTGTTAAAGACTTAGGTATGAGGTTAACTCAGATGGAACAACAAGCACGTTCTACAAATGTGGAAATTCAATGTCTACCGGAGCACAACAATGAAAATCTTGTGTCAACTGTCTTGAATATTAGTAAGGTGATATCTGGCGACATAAATGAGAGTAACATTCATCATGTCACAAGAATTGCAAAGCAAAGCCCAGTGAATAACCGACCAAAGTCTATCGTCGTTCAGTTCAGCAGCCCACGGGTCCGTGACAACTTCCTGGCGGCTTCCATCAACTTTAATAAAAACAAACCTTCTGAGGAGAAGCTCAACACGGCGCTTCTTGGGATTGCCGGTAGAAAGGAAAATGTCTATATAGTTGAACATTTATCACCGGCAAATAAGGCGCTGCATGCTGCGACCAGGATTAAAGCGAAGACTTTGGGCTACAAGTATGTGTGGGTTCGTGGCGGTAAGATTTTTATTAGAAAACATGATGGTGCAGACTATAAATATATCAGAGACACGGAATCGTTGGACAGTTTACAATAAAAAAAAAAGCATTGGATAAGGTATAGGACTGTTATAGTTTTAAATTCGATGAGTTAAAAATATACTACCAGAATGTAAGGGGTATCAGGACTAAATTGGGTGAAATTTACCAAAAAGTTGCATGCTGTTCATATGATGTAATATTGTTAACAGAAACTTGGTTACTAGATGGTATCTTTGACTCGGAGATCATGGACAGTCGTTATTCTATTTACAGGCGTGATAGAGCCCGTAATATATTGAATGATAAAACAGACGGAGGTGGCGTTCTTATTGCAGTGTCCACTAAAATAGAATCACAGAGATTGATAAAATTTGAAAGTTCGTGCGATGATCTCTGGGTCAAGTTGTCAGATATAGAGGGTAAGAAAGCCAAAGAGATTTATATTTGCACTGTATACTTACCGTCGCCGTTACAGCCTGGAGTACTTGAACATTTTGTTGATAATACTAACAAAGTGTTAGAACACGTCAATGAATGCTTGATTATTGGTGACTTTAACATGAACACTGTTAACTGGCTTGGAATGGGTGGTGATGTGATAAGAGCTCCACAAAACACTTGTACAAATTTAGAACGAACTCTTTGGGACTTTGTCTTGCTCAATAACTTAAGACAATGTAATTATTTGTGTAATCAAAATAATAGAATTCTTGATCTGGTCCTAACTAACTTGGATCATGTTGCAGTAAGTGCACCAACAGATGTACTTTCGAAACTAGATGTGCACCATCCACCTATACTATGTGAGCTCTCATTTACCCATTTCAAAAATCCACGCTATTGTAATAATAGAACTAAGCTAAACTATCATAGGGCAGATTACGTGGCGATTGGCGAGGCACTGGAGCAAGTCGATTGGCCATCAGAGTTTGATGCTTGCATGACTGTAGATCAGATGGTAGATATTTTTTATAATTTACTGTATGGGTTAATTGAACGCTACGTTCCAAAAGTACCAATAAAATCCACTAAATATCCGTACTGGTTCTCTAGGCAGCTTATTAAAAGATTAAATGAGAAGAACCGCTTACGGCTTAAAGTTAAAAAGTATAATAATCCACTGGACATTATTGAACTAGATGTTCTTAGGAAAAGATGCGACCATATGGCCACGACTTGCTATTCTGCTCACATTGCTGATATGGAGGAAAAAATCACGTCCAACCCAAAATATTTTTGGAGCTACCTAAAAATGAAGAGAGGCGGTACCAGTAACTACCCCAGTTCCATGACAGACGGTATAAACACCTCTGACAACATAAATGATAATTATTTTGCCTCTCATTTTTCAAAGGTGTATGGTACTGTTGGAAATGGTGTCCATGCGACCGCACATGCTGACACGGATAGCTGCATAAGTAATAGCATGTTAGGCCAAATAACTATCCCACAAGATCAGATCCGCAAAGAATTAAAAAAATTGGATATATACAAAGGAGCAGGCCCTGATGGCATACCTGCTCTGCTTTTAAATAAGTTGGCGGATATTCTATCATTGCCATTAACCATCATATTTAATTATTCTCTGCTGCGGGGTAGCTTTCCGACTATTTGGAAGCAAACCAAAATTGTGCCAATTTTCAAAAACGGGGATCAGTCCGATGTGAGCAATTATAGGCCTATCGCCATTCTCTCCACTCTGGCTAAGGTATTTGAAGCTCTTATATGCCCTGTGCTTGTTAGACATTTATCACAGCTAATAATAGACAACCAACACGGATTTATGAAGGGAAAATCGACAGCTACCAATTTGGTGTCCTATGTTGAAGGCATTGTGGAGGAGGTTGATACGCGTGTCCAAGTTGATGCAGTCTACACCGACTTTAGCAAGGCTTTTGACGTAGTAGATCATGACATACTCGTCATGAAGCTTAAAAGATATGGCGTTTCAGACCCTCTTCTGAGTTGGGTCCAATCATATTTGTCTGGTCGGACGCTCAGGGTTGTGATAGATGGCTGTTCTTCAAAATCGTACATTGCAACTTCCGGAATACCCCAGGGTTCTCATTTGGGTCCGCATTTATTTACTCTGTTCATAAATGACATTTACAAATGCTTCTCGAACTCGATGATATTCTTGTTCGCCGATGATCTAAAAGTCATGAGGTCTATAAGAAGCCCTGCGGATCCGGCATTATTGCAAAGCGACTTGGACCGGTTGACAGAGTGGTGTGAACACAATAAAATGTCACTAAATGTTAGAAAATGTCAACACATAAAATTTTCAAAAAATAAAAATATCTTGCAGTCAGCATACGAAATTAATGGTGAGCGACTTATTGATGTTGAAACAATACGAGATCTAGGTGTACAGTTCAATAAAAAGCTAAGTTTTGTCGAACATATTGACAAAACTATTTTAAAATCCATCAAGATGCTTGGTTTTGTAATGAGAGAGTGTAAAAATTTCAAAAAACCGGCCATCAAAAAAATTATGTACAATTCTCTGGTAAGAAGCCATCTCGAGTATTGCAGTGTGGTTTGGTCGCCTGTATATAAGGTTCACATCAAACGCATTGAGCGGCTGCAGAAGCGGTTCTTGTGGCATCTTACTTATGCCAGTAATATGGGAAACAGGCTTAAATCGTACCATGAGCGACTGAAGCATTTTGGGATGGTGTCGCTGGAGAGACGCAGGGTTATGCTTGATTTGGTTTTTCTTAAGAAGTTAGTAACGGGCTCTCTTAACTGTCCCGACTTGCTCAGTAGGGTCTTATTCCATGTGCCACGTATTCTGCCGAGAAGCTCTAACAGGAAACTTTTTTGCATGCCGAGATGTCGCACCAATTTGAGACAACACTGTCCACTATCACGAATGTATACTGCTTACAAAGAGCACGAAGCGGATATTGACTTGTTCACCTCTTCTGTACATGCTATTAAAAGAGCCACGCTTGCTATCTAATGGGTACCTCTAATCAATTAGTCAAATTTAATTGTTTTAAATTTAATTAAATTTAATTTAATTTTTAAAATCTAATCTATTTTACTTAATTTTAATTTAATTTTGTGTGTTAAGTATCTAATTAAGATTTTATTTTTTGTAATCAATTCAGCTTCAATTTAACTTTTCTGATAATGTATTATTTATTCAAAATCGATTAATTATTTTACTACCCTCGCATAATATTATAGTGCATGCTGTGCTTCTCTATAAGTAATGGGGCACTTAGAATTAAGTTTGAAATGTACAAATTATATAGTATAGTGTACTCATTGTTGAGAAGCCTATAATAAATAAATAAATAAATAAATAAAAATAAATAAATATTTATTGAAAAATCTGACAAAAGCTCTACTTGGTTCATGTCACAACGGGACTGTTACTGATGACAGCCTGCAGCGACTGCATGCAGCATTTTCAACAACTTTAGTAGGTACTGAAGCTAGGCTTGGCTTAGAAGGCTAAAATTATAATGTAACTACCATATAGTTGTATAAAACTCTTTCATATTATTTATTTAGTTTTTAGTAATGTTAAAGTGACAATAGAAAACATCTTCTTAAAAACTTAAGCCTGATGCCGGTTGAAATTAGGACTGAAGCTTCAGTCATAAGAAACAGCCTGACAGACAGACAGACAGACGAACGGACTGCCGAACAGCAGATTCTTAATAAAAGGGTTTCGATTATAACGAACGAACCCCTAAAAGTGAGAATACTGAGGTTGTTAACCTTCCTTTTTGTTCTTTTGTTATCGTCTAGGTCATAGTATTTAGGTTATAAGCTAAAAGGTCCACTGTAAATAGACAATAAGCTACAAAACAAAAGAATTAGTTCGTTCTATTCCTAGTATTCAAATAAGAGTAGGACATCTAGACTACCTACTTACTCTGTATTAAATATTAAACATGTATTCTAGTACAATTATGACGAATGAACCAATGTAATGTTTAAGATTTTGGTTCTTAAATTTAAGAATAATGCATGCATAGTTATAATTTTGTACGTTTCTTTCTTATCTATAGTTATAATAATTCTGTAGAGAGGTCAATTCTGTACATTAAATATATTTTTAAAATAACTACTAGGGAGGGATAAGTGATCGATACTGATGCCAAAAATGCAATCAGTAAGTCTGTCTGTCTGTATGTTCCTTATAGAAACAAAAACTACTCGACAGGTTTTAACAAAACTTGGTATAATTATTCTTCATACTCACTTTTCATCACACTATACATAATAGGAGCAGAGTAGTGAAGGGAAATGTTGGAAGAACGGGATAAGTTTTTCCCTTTTTTAAGTTTCCGTCGCGTGTGTAGCCTAGCTGTAGTTAAAGTTACATAGAAATTATGTATGACGGAAACATTCTACATAAAATGATCTAATGAATATTGTTTTACAGCATATGTCTATTTTTTATGGTTTACTCACAATAGCACGTGTTAATCCTGATGGCTTAGCAGTTCGGGTAATAATCAAGCCATCGCGCCGTCGCATGTGATGCCTATTGGAGATGTACCCATAAAAGTGAGACGATAATTAACAAATTTTATGTATTCTTCGATTTTGTTCCATTGGTATAGGCTGCTTTTTATCAACACAGCACGAAGGCGAAGCCGCTGGCAGACACTAGTTCCTAATATTAAGCAACGAAGAAGTTAAAAAAGTCATTTGTCTCCTGTGATTTTTATGTGGTAGGATGGCAAATGACCTCGCATATTACCTGATGGTAAGCTAAGGACACAGGAGGATTTAAGAACGCATTGCCGGCCTTTTGGGTAAACGATTTTGAAAATTGAGGGATTGGGCATCCTCTTATAACCTCAGACACACAGCGAAACACAACGCTGTGGTTGTTTCTCGCCGGTTTTCTGTGAGGTCGTAGTACCACTTCGGTCGAGCCGAGTCATTCGTGCTGAAGCATGGCTCTCCCACACTTGAACACACAATTATATGACATATC